AAGTAGTACATCCTCCATGCTTGCGGACAGGACCGAACATGTTCAAAGAACGCTTCTGAGCATCAAACCAACTCGGGACGCGTCTTCAACGACAAGATCGCAACCTTGATAGTCTCGCTTTGTATGCTTTGCAAATGATGCAAATTGACATCCCCGCCGTTTACTCCCTTAGTGTTCCTTGGTGCGTACGCTCAATACTCTCTCCGTTTCTCCAACGTACAACGCTTCACATGTCAAACTCTCAAGCAGGTCAATTACCCAACCTTGCGCAGTCTCCCCTCCTATACCGGAAAACTACAGTTTTCCATGGCTTAACTTCGGGTAGTCAATTTCAAACTGGCTGACATTTGTGCTCTTTGGTGTGTTCACCAAGAAAAAGTCGCTGGCTGGATCCGTTCTAGATAGGCAGCGCTCTATTGCTGTGCTAGCGCGATCTGACATAAGTGGTAATTGGGATAAATCCCGATTGCTGTTCTCTACCGAAACCTGTTTGGCCAAATCAGTTACGCTCTTTGTGTGTCCCGTTAGAACTTGCATGGAAAACGTCCAAAGAAGTGTTTAAAGTTGACCTACCATCTCATCTCACGCAAGCCTTTGTTTATGTTTTTCCACTACGAACCTGTCTTAATGGAAAAATTGGTGTGTTCAACATCGCATTATTCCCGTGGCTTTGTCAGAGACAGGCTCGCATTTTCATCTCTTCATTCCTAGCCCCACTTCGTGCTATAGCTTTTCTTGGGCTCGGAATTCGATTATGTTTATGCAAAGGATCGTAAACATGTAACCCGAACCATTGTTTTTTCTCGAACGAAAGTGGCTAAACAATCTCGAATGTAAGTGCAGAAGCTGAAATATTTTACAGTTTTTATGCAGAAGGTGTGAGGTTTCTCCGCTCATTACGAGGTAAACAGTAAAAGAATAAAGACTCATTCCACGGTCATTAGTAGGTGTAATCTCTTTGTACAGTCTTGTTCGCTGCGGATGAGGGGGTGTGTCAGGCGGGATAGGTCTGGCGCGGAGCCAAACTCTTTCTCACGGAATCTTGAAGCACGCAAGCGACAGGACTGTATTATATCGTTCCTTTCAGTCGTTTTCCACCAATTGTTATCGCTTACAACTCAATCAAAGCAAAGCTGGAACATTATGCTGTAATTCATAATTCCCGGCCACGAATAGTGGGTCCTCGTCCTTGGATGAGGGGGGAGTTTGTTTAGGGAATGGGTGGGTGATGAGCTTTCATACAATTTTTGTATGAAAGCAAACTGATGCAAAAAACAATCGTTTCCATCCCAAATCGTTTCAAAGGCAGTGAGCACACTCGCCAGAGGCGGGCGGTTGTTGACAGTGTCATTGGCGGAGAGGAAAGGCGCAGGCCACGCCCCACAAAGCGTGGCACTGTGTCCGAACTCCCTGTTTCAGCCCAGTGACGCTGGGAGCAACCGTCCGCCACCAGCAATCGTGTCCACTGCCTATGAGTTACTAGTACCTAGAATGGTTCTCGAAGGAAAGCTTCTTCGGCCTGTTAGAGAGGTGTAGCGGAAACGCCCTAGAACAATATGCATATATTACTTTTTCATATGTATAATTTCCACCTGGTGTGCTCAGCTGGCCATACCAGCTCTGCCTTGCTGTGCAATTAAAGTAGCGCTTGTAGAGGCGCTGATCCGCTTCAGGGGGCCAGTCGTAAACTCCTATCAACTTAGCGGGTAGTTTTGTGAAATCCTATAGCTACGAAATGACGGGTTGTTTCATGTGTGACCCTAATATCTGGAAATAACCGTAAGGTGCTAAGAAAAAAGGATCCTAGGTAATTCACTTGTCGCGTAGGCAACTTCTTTGCGGCTGGGTAAAAAGTGGTTCATTCTACCCCCTACCCCAAATTTTCTTCCACTCATATGCTCAATGTCCTTCGTGCGTAATCGTTGCTTTGTTCGCATTTTCCGGCGCGAAATGCCACCCAACATTTAGAAAAGAAAAGAAGCAATGGAATACAGATGAGGCCTATAGCTCAACAAGAGTTTGCGGGGTCTTACGTACGATACAACGAGCGGAAATGTCGCCGGTTGTGTAAGGAGACCCACCCCCCGCCCACTCAACAGGGTACAGCATCGTTGTGCGAAACCCATAGGGGGGTCGTACTTGGCCGCTGGGGAGGGGGGGTCGTAATCTCAAGGGTCACTCAGAGCCGAGCAATGCTTCGACATTTCAGTTGATAGTGGGAGTGGAGCTATGGAAGTCAAGATGTTTAAAAAATGAAGTTTATTATGAGTGTATTCTTTACAGCTTTAAATGCTACGTTTAACAGCCCTCTTTTCATGGGAAATCCCCAAGAATGGGTTCGTACTTGGCCGCGGGGGACGTGGGGAGTATCGCAAAAGTAGGCTCGCTAGGCATCAAACAGTACAAAGGTGTCATTGCTAAGGGTAATGGAACGGACGGAAAGCTTCAGAAGACCCGGATGTAAATAGGAATACAAAATAATAAAAGATTTATTAGCAATATAGCAAGAATAAATAAATAAATAATGTCAGTTTATAGCATGAACTCGTAAGTACGTAGATGACTAAATAATACGTCTCAAACAGATTCGTGCGTGTTGTCCTTTACAAACCCTAAACAAACATCTGCTTGCATGGATAAAAGCACCTGAAATTAGAATTTACACCTTTCCACCACCTCTCCGTAGGAGCCTAATGCACGGCGCACGGACCAAACCGATTAGTGATAGCCGAGCTCCTCTTCCACTCATTTGAAGGGAAATATGTATTTTGGAGGCACACTGAAAGGTGTATCCTCACAATGGCACATAAGGAGTCAATTTTTCGGGTGGTCCAGGGGGTAGCGCAAGGGTAACCCATCTAAAATATCTCCTGAACTAGTGGGTCTTCAGAAAAACCGTGAAGCTTGTTGGAAAGAGAAAGGATGGAGGGGTTTCAGGACGTTTTTAATCCTGATGAAATTGCGTTTGAACGAAGCAATCCTCGCGTGAAGCATGGAAACCAGCTCGCGATTTACCCCTAGCCTATCCAAAACCCATCCGGAATATTTCACCAACGGGGGATTGTTCAGTTTGCAACTAGGTAGAATACACAACAGTAGAAACTTTGCCGTTGCATGCTGCTCACCATTCCTCAAAAGCTCCGCACCTAAAAAAGATATAACCCCCGAACAGACCCCAGGACGTTGGCAAGTCCAACAACCGCGCTCCAATGACGTTTTTCCAAAGAAAGCGGTCGCAGCCTTGCGCCCTGCAGCCTGATCGATAATAGCCAAGTATGGAACGATTTACTGCCGGCCTGGTTATCCTTTTTTCATTTAGCTCTGCATTTTTTGTATTTTCCATGTTTCGCTTTGTTGTGTCGTGCATGTTTTCATTATTTCCCCGTCACCATTCATTGAATGCACATCTGGGCCCTGACACGCTCACCTTGGGGCTATTTTTTTCACCAATTCAGCCTATCAATGATCACCATTAGCCGCTATTTCAATTGTGTTTCTTTTACAAGTTGCATGTCATACATAGTTATCGAACGAGGAGTTTTATTTTGAATCCTAAGACAAAATTGTAGGTAATGCGAGGCTGTTGTTCAGCCTCATATTGCATGAGGCTGAAACAGCCTTTTATTTCCTGTATTTTAGAGCAGAGTGCGCCTTTCGAGAATCCAGATTCCATTTCAGGAAGTCATTTGTGGTGAACATGCATCTGGTTGTCAGTTAGAGCAGGAGGGGGGGGGAGGGGGGGAGGGGGGGGGGTCGTGTCTGGACCCTCTTCGAGGGGGGGGGTCGTACCCACACCGCCATTTGACACATCCCCATGCTGTACCCTGTCATAACTGCTGCGGATTTACCCCTGTTTACTAGCTGCCAAGCCTGTTTTGAAGCTTTGACCCATTATCGAACGGGTAGAATGCTTAGCACTTATTTGGCAATAGAACTTTCCCGTAGTGATCAGGGCACTTCGTACATTGAGAAGTCCCCAGCGATGGGGTCGTATTTGGCCGGTGAAGGGAAGGGTCGTATTTATCACGAGGAAATTTTTTTGACAGTTGAAATCTCCCCTTCTCTCCCCCCCCCCTGCTTAGTTGGTGGCCCTGTCAAAGTCCTATACAGCTACCATTTTCGATAGTGGAAATAGATGTTTGGTGGTGACCTCCTTTCCCCTGCTCGATGGCTGTTTTTTTCTTTTCAGGACACCTATCTACCGCGAAGCCTCCCTCCACTTTTTTTTCTTCCTCCTGCTTTTCCTTCCTTCCTTGTCTCTTCTGTCTTACTATCCCTTTTCATTCTCCCTTCAACTGCTGGGCCAGTAGATGCGATGAGAAATACTTCTGGACCCTCGCAGCGAGAGCATAGCCGGTTTGCAGAAGCTCTGTAACTTACCGAAGAACTGGGAGAACTTGGTAGGAAATAGGGAAAAGTCAGTAATGCCAGTAGGATGGTAGGTACGATGGGGAAGGGGTCGTACAGAAGAGAGTTTAAGAGGAGAGGGTTCGCATTTTCCGAAGCGACAGGATGTGCCCTGCTAGTAATAACCCTTCTCATGGTTGTGCTACCTAGTGCTGCGATGCTGCAGTGGGCGTTGCTAACCCGTTCAATCGATGTGTTATCGGGCGCTGCCACTCAGACATCACATTAGTTCTGGTTAGAATCACGTTTGAGGTGTCATCAGCCAGTATTTGTAAATGTTGCTATTCCTAGTGCGGTAATCGGTGAACTGGATGAGGAACTCGATAAACGAATCGATTTGGACAACGTGAAGGCCGCTCCACTTGCAGCGATCTGGATCCAAGGCTAGATCCGCTCTTGTTCACTTTCTCCGTAACTTCTTTTCTCCTTAAACTATATTATAATTATGTCATCGCTCACTGATGTTTATTGTTCGCAAAACGAGTAGATGCGTTGTATCAAATAATTTATTTTTCTCCCAAAGCTCTGTTGGGTACCAATGTGTAGATCTCTTTCCTAAGGTTTTCTTCATGGAATTTTCTTCCTAGAATTTATTTATTTTTCTTCGTTGTTTTGTTTTTAGTTTGGCAATAAAAGACTATTTGAATAAGTTCGTTTCCAATGCTCAATTGCACGTTATCGTCGTTCATATCTCCCCGATTGATCTCTGATGCAGTCGTGTCATTCGACAAATCGCTCAATTAATGTTCATTTAGCCGTAGTGATAGGTGTTTTGCGGTCATCAGACGGTGGAAATCGGGAAAATTCGATGATGTCGCATGAAAATGGCTTGGAAACTGTTCCTAAGGTGGGTCTATATTATTAGCGTGTTCTGTGGAATATTTGTCCGTGAATTTTTTTTGTTGTAGACACTTTTCTGTTATAGACAAGCATTCAAGAGGCCATAATCCGTGAAGTTGAAGAAATCGACTGGTCTGTTGATCCTACTGAGGTTCGTTCATGTTTTAGTCGGGTTAAAATTAGAAGTGCTAACTGGGGATTCACCAGCGGCGATCATACTTAGTCTCTGGAGGGAGGGAGATCGTGTTTGGTCTGAGAACTTTTTTTTGATAGCTGACTTTTCTGCTTTTGCTTTAATATGATAACATCGAAATGAGATGGAGGTGGTGAGTTTGTAAACTGCCCGTTTGTCACGCGCGCGATCCTGACCAGGCTAACTTCTATTTTGATAAAATGGTACCAGGTTTGCCTAGGGGAGGAAAAAAGGCTTGTGCATCGGCTGGTTTCGCAAGTCGCGTGGTGTCGCAGATCCCTTCTATGGGTCATATCGCATTCGAGAGCCGCTACTATTATAGATGGAAATAGAATGAGTAGGGGAATTCATGAAAAGAATTCATTTGCGGCGCAGGCTTCATCCCTTTGTTACATGCAGATGAGGATCCTATGTGCATGGGAATGGGCTACTCTCCAGTAGGGCAAAACCAGGGTGCAAGAGGGTGCAGACAAGCATCCCTGCTACGTGTGCACCCTCTGTTTTGGTGATAGTTTTTGGTTAGTGATTGGTTCTCAAGAACTTTATCTCATTAATCAATTCTCCTTAGGCTGTTACAGAACGTTTTTATTGTGAAGCTGCCAAAACAGCACAGAGTTTTGAGAGTGTGAGATCATAGCTGGCTCTTAGCTACCTACCTGTCCTGCATGCGTGCCGAACGTGTCTCCATTGTGATAGGGCGTCACCTATCCTTATCTTCTGTAAATAGTGATAACGGTTTGCTGAAGACACGACCCTTCTAGTTTTGATCCATTTTCTGCTCGAAATAGCCATGCCACTCTTGAATTTTGATCGTGCACCAAATCGTTCCCCTTTTATGCATCGCACGTAATATGTATGTTGAAAGGATGGCATAAAAATGCGTTAGGCCGCTTGTAGACAGGAATTCAATGGCACAAGTTACGGGCAACATCAATAGCCTCGTAAGCTGACGTGGTGGCAATCAATAGCTATTGTTAGCGAAATCGGCGTGGAAATAAAGAGATTTTCGTGGTGTGCATTTGAACCGGTGTCTATCATTGCGCTGTTCCGCATCAATTTTGTATAGGCTTTCTCGCTGTGGATTCACAGTGGAAGACTCTCAGAATACTACTTCAAGTTCCCTTTCGAAAGCAGCTTATGCTTTTTGGCTGGAAACAACTGCTTTTCCTGTGGCTCCGTTAGACGGGTCTTTAAGGCGCATTCTGCAATTGAGTAAATCTATTTCTCAAATGTGTCAGATGATCCGGTTGGGATTGTGAAGGCTCTATTACTTTTGAAGGGTCAAAATTTGAAAGCTGAACAGATAGGTCCATGAGCATTTTTGGGCCCATACCCCCCCCCCCCTCCCTTTCCTAGCGGCTATTACTAGCTGGTAGCTCCTCTAATTGCTCTGTCTATTTCGAATGTGAGGGTGAGATGCTAAGGGGAAGCACTGATATAGTAATTATCGTTAATGCTGGCTTCAGCAGGGGATCATATTCAGAGCAAACCGGTAGTTTTCACTGTTTTTCTCCATTTTTCATTTACTTAGTAATCTGGTTTATGTTTGAGCTCCATTTACCCAGCGTTTGTGATCGCGGACTTCGCTTTTTATTTGGCTCATTGATGGAAAACATGCTGTCCACTTCTACCTGTCCTCCTCTGCGTAGCTGGCGTTCCTTGACGGAGGTGCAAAATGCAGCATGATTTGGACGTCCTTCGGCGGGCCGTTAAATCGCGTCATTTCGATGCTTGCGTTTCCCGGGCTAATGCCGTTTGGACTCCAGAAATTTCGGCTCCGAGCTCATTTTAAAAGTGGCAAGATCACCAAATCCGCTAAAAACTTGTATATAGGGGTAATTCAACATCCTGATCACGAATATGACATTCATTTTTGGCGCTGGCGCTAATGGATGACACTACGGTTACCTGCGCTCTGCTAAGGCTGAGCCCAGGAGGTAGGAGGTAGCGGTAGTGGCGCCAGCGCCAAGAATGAGTGTCATACTCGTAATCAGGATGTTGAATTACCCCTATATACAAGTTTTTAGCGGATTTGGTGACTTAATTTGAAAATGAGCTCGGAGCCGAAATTGCTGGAGTCCAAACGGTACTAGCCCGTTTCCCGTCCGTTCATCGGATCCAGAAATGGGACAAATACTATACTCGTCTTCGTTGGTACTTCGAGTCTTAAGATTTATCCTTCAACTCGTCTTGTTAGTGAGTTGGTGAGTGGATTTGCCTCCAATATCTGGAACCGCAGGCCTCCAGTGGCTCGACCATTAAAGGCATTGTGGCGCCGAAATGTTTCGTTTGAACACGGTAACTCTGATTAGGTCGTGTTCATAAGGGAATCGGGCAATCCATGAAGAGATTGCATGCGTACAGATTAAAACTGCTCAACTGGAGAATCGGAGAATGGGGAGGATCAGAGAATCGCAGTCGAGATTAAAGGCAGTTGACACTATAAATCCCTAAGAGCAAGGGTTAATACGGCTGGCAGGACGGGATTTTGCGCCCCTGAGCAGGCGCTACGTAGCGCCTTTCCAAGGAAGGTACCTCTTATAAGGCCCTATCAAGCTGCAACATACCGACCCGGACGCCCACCGCGCCCGCCCGCCCACAAATGGACGACCGTACCTGATGCTCGTATTGCTTCATTTGCGAAGTAAAATATGAAGCGAAGGGATTGATATGAAGCGGCCGCGGTGCTGCATGGATATATGAGTACATACGTGCAGCCGTATCTACCGTAGCGGTTACGCGATGCCTACGGGAAACTCGTCCGAAATTACTTTCTGAGTCATGAAGAACGAAGGTTTTTTGCAGGTTTTTGACCGTTTCACTTCGTTTTTCGCCATTTTCCCCACTATATAGCACCCTGCTAGCATTTTAGACCGAGTACCAAATTATCGTGCCATATGCCTTTCAATCGATACCCACCTAATAGCTACTTTGCGGAGGTTTCTCCGGTTTTTGCACTTCTTCTTATCTGATCTTGACTTCCTAGTGCGTTGTCGATCGTCGGGAACCTCTCCTAGTCAAGGAAATCTGTGCTTATAAACAGATGAGCGAAAATATCATGGTTCTTTCATTTTTGGACGAAATATTGGAGGTAGGACGCATGGTTCTCCTAGCCTTCAGTCTGCCAAACGTCCTCTAGCATAATGTTCGGTTCCAGTTCAAAATAATCGGAGATTCCGTTGGGAGTAATGATCTCGTGAGCAGATGGCGTGGTGACAGAGGCTGTTATTCTGATGCTAATAGGAAAAATACTTGGTGACTCATACTCGTGCAGATGTTTCGTCGTTCAGATATACAGGGGGGGGCAAAAAAAGTCACTTTTCTTCATTGACTTTCGAGGCGCTATAAGTTACACTTTATTAAATTCTGATCGGACATTTTTACCACCATATTAAAGAGCATATTAAATACTATCATGACACTCCGCCACAGCCTTCTGGACGAGCGCCATCGAGAGATTCTGGCACGCCGATTCTTGGCACGCGACCGCGATGTGGTGCTTGAGACCAGCGAGATAGTCGATTTCTCCGCCACCGTGGACCACCCTACTGAACTCCATCCGAACGGGTAATTGGCGAGAGTTCTCTAACGCCCTTCGATTCCATGTGGTGGCACCCAATGCTGTAGCAGTACAAAGTTTCCAAGAAGGTACGGGCGACGACATGTGAGGAGGATATTCTTCACGAGTTGCTCGATGTAACCGCCAGCGCTCACCTTCAGTCCGGGGTCCACGAAGAAAATATGGTCTTTCCATTCCAGGTACGTCCGGTCCATACCATCAACCCGCGCCTTGGCGACTGTGGTGAAGATGATGTCCTAGACCGTAGCGTTGTCGGAGCTGCTCGATGTTGGAGGTCTTCCAGATCGAGAGTACTGGTCTCCAGGTAGCTATCCATGGGTGACTCCATACCAGAAGTTTCGCAGCTGTTTGGAGGTGACGTGAATTTCAAAGGTCTTCTCCAGGCTGCGACTGGAGATGACTTCATATTTTGGTGTACATGAAGGTGATGGGCGAGAGCCAGCTCCTGCTTATCGAGGAACATCTTGGGTATCTTTCGCCCTGGTACTCGTATCCACGTCTTCTCTCTGGGCAGCGAAAACTTTGCTGATATGTGACTCGGTCGAACTGACTTTTTTTGCCCCCCCCCCCCTGTACAGAGAGTATGTTGTTTTGGGGACGGCGATGGTTGTGTCAGATGGAAAGTGGCATGTGTTCAGATATAGTAAACCACTCGACTGAATGTGCTAGTTTATGACCGTTTACGACTATGTTCAATTAGCAGATGTGGGGCAGTATAAGAAACATTACGAAGTGTCATGACGTTTATGGGTCCGAAGTCTCCTCGAGGAATTACTTTTCATTTATGATTTTTCCTTACTAAACCTCGCATCACTCTCAAGAACGCAACCCGTCAGCCGATACGGCAACCTACTCTTTTTAGTGTTGCAATATCCTCTTGATAATGAATAATATATCATAGGCCTGCTGCCTGACGCTGTGATTCAGGAGAGAATCAGTCATGTTGGGATTCAACCAGGTAACTACCTAGCCCCCCCCCTGGGACTTCATATACCATTTTCACTTCAAATTCACCACTTTTCAAACCCAAGTCCACCGCTTTTCAAAGCAAACTTGCTTTGGTTGGCTAAGTGCCTGGTCTAAGAACAGTGGTGAATTTGGTTTGAAAGGTGGTGAATTTGAAATGAAAATGGTATATTTAGAAAAAAGGTGTGCGGAAAAAAGAGCCTAGCTTTTGTTCCATCATTTGACATAGCTCTGAGAGGACTAATCTTCCTTAGGATGGGTTTATACTTTGCTTCTCAAGCTATTCACTCGCACGATTTGGGGAACCACGCTGTACCGCTATTCATTGGATCACTGCAAAAGCTAATTCGGTCACAGGATTGAACTTTTTTTGAACTTTGCAGTGGTCAAAAGACTAGAAAAGGGGCGCGGTCAGTCG